CTGGCTGCAGGTGAGCCCCTGATTGTTGGAATGGAGACAGGAGTGGTGATGGCAAGACAGGCTTATATTAGCATTCTTTGGCTAATCCAGGGAGTAAGAACAAAATTGTGCTCTGTGGAGAGTGTGTGTTCCTGAAGGCTTTTCTTCAGCCTACAGAAAAAAAAATCAACAGGTTTTAACTGAGGCTCAACAGAAACACACATTTTTTATATTAAAAAGTCATATTTCTCGGTTATGACTTCTTTGAAATAGTTAAACAGTATTCAAATATCTGTAATAAACTAGGTTTCAATTCAATTGAATTTAATTATATAGCAACAATTCACAACACATGTCATCTCAAGGCACTTTCCAGTTCACCAGATCATACAGTCAAATCAATTCAAAGTTTTCTATCTAAGGAAAACCAGTTGATTGCATTGACTCATTGACTCGAATGCAATCCCTCACACCAAGCATGCTTGTAGCGACAGCGGAGAGGAAAAACTCCCTTTTAACAGGAAGAAACCTCCAGCAGAACCAGAACTCAGTGTGAGCGGCCATCTGCCAAGGCCGACTGGGGTTCAAGAAGACAGAAGCAGAGATACAAAAAGCAGCTGTAAAAGGCGGCCCCGTCCAGGAAACACACAGCCAGGCAGACGAACTCCGAGCCAGCTCCCATGTCAAAGGATGTAGAGAGCACTTTCAGCCAGTCACAGTCAGAGAAACAGGACTACACTTGAAAACAGGCCGATCTGCAACATCTATAAACAAGGATTTGAATGGTGTTGTTAGGTTATCATGTGTGGTGTAAAGGATTCCATTTGCTATTTAGAGCCTGCTTAAATGTGAAATGCACAAAAATACTGGTATGCATATCAAAAAATATGTGAATTTTTGTTCATGGTATGTTGAGTTACTTGCAAAAGACAAGAAAAGAATTTCAAATAGGTCCAACATATCTTACACAAATTTTTCTTCTGTCACTTGAAAATATCGAGGGAAATATTTGAAATGTTTACTAAAGTCAGGTTTTTGCTTGACATGGACAGGTCAACTTTGCAAACCATGGTGGATGAGCGACAGCTGCTACCGGTTAGGGTTTGCATACATAAACATCTAGAGCTGTAGTTCCCAAACCCTGGTACTTACTGTAAGTACTGCCCTGCCTGTTTTAAGCCAGTGTTAAGACATACTGCCTTGCATGTTTTTAGCTGCTCCTCTGCTTCAACGCACCTGATCCAGATGACTGTAGCTTAACAAAGCCTGTTAATTTGCTATCGATTGATATCACGTGTTTGAAGCCTGGGAAACATCTAAAACATACAGGGCAGTGTGCCTGGGGGACCAGGGTTGAAAAACACTGTGACGTCTCTCTGTTGCAGCAAACCTGATTCCAATTAGATAGACTACTCAGCAACCATCAGTGCTGCAGATGGCTGATTCATTTAAGCCAGGTATGTGGTAGCAAAGAGTAATCTAAAACATGCAGGGCAGTGATACATGAGGAACAGGATGGAGAATCACCCATCTAGAGACACCTTAGGATTTGGCACATAAATATCACTACGATCAACACATTTAGAAAAACTCTTGAAGAGAAATGACTGTCAGTCTTAAATGACACAAAGAGGATTTAAAGGATTTAAAATGTTGGAAACAGCTGTGTTTTTTACTTCTGCATGTGATGTTGTAAGCTTGGAGCCGGTACAATACTATCCCTCCAGGAGCCGAGCAGAATATCAGATTCACGTGTAAAATCCACAAAGATTTTAAAAGCTGTTGACGCTGTGTTCCTGTATGTGTATTAAGCATATCTCAGGCTTTGGGCAGTTAACTATGTATAAAGTATTTACTGAATTTTTGTGTTCACTGGCTACATATTCTATATGTCATAATACGTAATACTACTGGCATGCTTATCCAGTTTGTAGGGTCAGCAGTTTACAGGCAGACATTATGTAAAAAACAAAAAACGTATTGAGTAGATATACTGTTGCTGCATTCTCCATTTGTAAGTTACACAAGGTTTTTATGGCACAACATTTAACCATTTTAGTTGATTTACCATATTATATTGGAAACTAGAAACATTAATGTATTTATGAGGGAAGTACAGTATGTTCTTGGATCGAATAAATGAAAATCAAATTAGGCACGTCAGAGAGTTTGTGAGGTACATTGATATGCTTCAAAAGATATCCTAAAAAACATTAATACTCTTAAAAAGTAGGGTCCATTTGTATTGCATAGCATATTTGCATGTCTCAGAATTCTACGACCCAAAGAGCCATTTTCCAATAACAGTTTCTACGTTTTCAAATACAAAGTGTGAGCAATTTGCTCCATATCCAAGTTGTTTTGATGGATATACTTAGAGAAGAATTATCTAAATACATGCATATCTATGACAATTCTCCATTAATGTGATGTAGATTAGGTTGAAAAGTCTTTGAAATGATATATTTGCCAAAGTCAAGGTAACTGTATACACTGTTTTGTGCAAGTATTTAGCCCACTTGAATTTTTTTTACCTTTCGCCATATTTCAGGCTTCAAACATAAAGATAGAAAATTTTAATCCTTGTTGAAAATTAACAAATGGGACATAATCATAAAGTGGAACGAAACTTCCACTGAAGAGTGGTGCTGAATAGTATTTTTGAGGTCTGTTTAAAGCACAGAGAGCATCATGAGGAAGAAGGAACACACCAGGCATGTCCGAGATACTGTTGCTGAAAAGATTAAAGTCGCATTGGATACAAAAAGGTTTCTCAAGCTATAAACATCCCAAGGAGCACAGTGCAAGCGATAATATTGAAATGGAAGGAGCATAAGATCACTGCCAATCCCGATCGTCACTCTAAACTTTTAGATCAAACAGGAAGAAGACTTGATCACAGATGTAGCCAAGAGGCCAATGATGCCTCTCGATGAACTGCAGAGATTTACAGCTGAGATGGGAGACACTGTCCATAGGAGAACAATCCGTCGTATACTGCACAAATCTGACCTTTATGGAAGAAAGCCATTTCTTTGAGATATAAGTAAAAAGTCTTGTTTAAAGTTAGCTACAAGACACCTGGGAGACACAGCAAACATGGAAGAAGGTCCTCTGGTGAGATGAAACCAAAATCAAAGTTATTGGCAACAATATAAAATGTTATGTTTGGTGTAAAAGCAACACAGCTCATCATCCTAAACGCCCAACCCCCACTGTCAAACATGGTGGTGGCAGCATCATGGATTACATAAAATTTTCCAAATTTCGACTCCTGATCTCACCAGCACTCTGTCATGGCTAACTTCCTTCACAACATCAGTTTGAATATAATTTAACATGTCACCTGTTTTCTGAATGAGCAGTTAGAAAAAAATTAACTCACAGCAGAGGCAAACATACACATGATTAAGTTAATGCATAAAATGCTGATTTTATTGAATATATGTGTGATCGCACAATAAAACTGTTTATCTTTTGTATGAAAGAGACACTTGAAACAAATGTTTGATTGCACATGCAGTAGAATGTTGCTGAATGCAACTTACACAGTGGCAGAGATGAAGATGAATGAAGACTGGGCGGAGCTCTGCTGCTGCTGTATTAGAATGCATTGCTTGGGAGAGAGGCAGGAAAGAGAGAATGGGGATGCAGTATGAAGAAATGTAGAGGAGAAGGATGAAAACAGGTGAAATGGAAGAAAGAGAGAGAGGGAGAGATGGAGGAAACGAGAATGAGTCTGGAGCGACAATTAAACCAAATGGGCTAGAGCCTTTTCTCCCCCCACCCTACCCACTACCCCACTGCACACAAATATACATGCAGACAGACCCACACACACACACACACGCACACATCCTCACGCAGCATGCCAAAGGGAGCTATGGCGCATGCACCCTTTCGGAGATAGGCAGAAGGAGATCAGTTGAGGTCTGGGACTGGTGTGTGTCAGCGATGTATTAGCGACATGCTGGTGGTGGCGTATGCCCTGCCTGTGAAGGTGCAATGTTAGCGAGAGAGGAGGGGGCTGTTTTTGCCTCGATGCACAGCTAGAATGCACATAGTGGACTTGTGGCATGTGAGTGTGAGCGAGCCACCAAAACGGAGGGGAGCCACGGAGAACAGCTGCAACAGCATTGCTAGAGTGTGTGTGAGTGTGTGTGAGCGTATGTGTGAGGGGTGGAGGGGAGAGGAGAGGCAGACACGGCGGGACTCCGGGGAGAGGGAGTTGGGGAGCAGATCTAACCTCTCTCCTCCACAGCAGGAGAACCTGGACCCAAGGACAAGCCAGGATCTGTAGCCCAACCTGGAGCATCTGGAGTGGGGGCACACAGGAGATGTCTATCTTTTGAATGGACTTCTATTGGAACCTAAACTCAGGATGTGCTTAACTAAAAGGGGCTGCCAGTTGGACCTGATAAATCCATGCAGGAAAGAAAACAGGGATATTTCTCTTTCTGGTACATATTTCCTCTCCTACCTCGAATAGGATGCGAGAGAGAGGGGACACCTAAGAGAGACAGGGGTAAGAGAGAGCAAGAATATTGGTTCTTCTACTGAAGAAGGAAGAGGGAGAGGAAAATAGTGTCTGGGAGGAGAATACAATCCTCTCATGACTCTCCTGTGGAACAGTGACTGTTGTTTGCCAGGTACTTAGGCATGTCTATGAATCCCTCCCTGGGAACATTAACAACCAGGGGTTGTCACCAGGTCGCTGTCCCATTGACAACCATGTCAGTGACAACCGGCTTCAGTTACCAGCTCCCTGGAATCACCACAGTAACATATGTGTTTGTTTACAGCCCTGGCTCAGTGCAGCGAGACCCAAGCCCACCACATCACACCCCTCCTGCACTGACAGGCCCTCGTGGGCCCAAACGGAAACTCTACAGTGCTGTCCCAGGACGTACCTTCATTGTGGTCAAACCCTACTCCCCACAGGGGGAGGGAGAGATCCAGCTCAACCGTGGAGAACGAGTCAAAGGTAAGTAGTCAATTGTGATGTTTTGCTTAATTATTCATTACTTAATCTACTTTAGCTGATTCATTATTATGGTTATGAATACTTTATATACTGAAGTAAGGTTCCTGTTTCTACTTTTATGGTGCCTGCTGGTGGTCTGCTTCCCCCAGAAAATTCTGTGACAATATGTGGCTTACAGTACATGAATGTATGGTGGCTCCAGAGTATAAGATGTTTACTTTTGTTCTCTCATTTATCTCAGATAGACACATCATTACCTTACTTTCAGCCTTGAAGTCATTTCAGTGATGTTTGAGCTTGAGATTGTGAATGACCATTTCATTGTCTTTTTTTAAATGTGCTGTTTTTCACTGTTATTGCTGGCTCTCCTTTCATGGGCTTGTGTGTGTGCTTTTGTCTCCATTCATGCTTCACTCCAGACTTTGACTGTAATGACGTAGAAGGTAAACTCCAAAATATCCTCCACACCCGAAAATTTCCCCAACAAAACCTCAGTGTGCTAACCCCCACACCCACAATGAAAGCAATTAGTTCTTGGCCCTGTTTGAATCCACTTGAGAAATGTGTACACTCCCACAACAAATCTTTGATCACTGCAAGGAGAGCTTGCAAATTCAAACAGGTCCCATGGGCTTTTGGATGTTGGTGTGCATACATATGATGTGTTTTTCCCCCTTTCAGAGAGTGCTTCCTTCCTGCATACACAATAGATTTTCTGCCTGCCCTTACCTCTTATCACCTGTCCACAGACACCCAATTCTATCTAGATTGACCCTGCACCCCACGTCCTGCCTCTTCACATGCATCACCTTGGATCAGACCCACATTAACTTAATGGAAACAGTTCCCTCATGTCCTTAGAAAGTCCAGGAAGAATCAGATCACGCTCATACTGAGACCTCTTATGTTCCTTTTAAATCTACAGAGGGACAGGAAGTACAGCTTAAGGGTCAATTAGAAATTTCTGTTTAGGCTTTGGGCTAAATATACATAATCACTTACTTCCTGCCTCTTTGTATTTACCAAAGAAGATATAAGGATGTCTCCTTCACTGAGTTTTGTAAAATTCATATATATATATATATATATATATATATATATAGCCTGGTTGAATAATTGCCATATAGCATAACCACAGTTTTTGAAGTCACTGATGAAAATTGATGGCTGGATATTTTTCATTTCTTCTTTACAGTAGCAAATTTTGGTAGATAAAAATCAAATATGGCAAGTAAGGATTCATACCTTACAAAAAATATTTTGCTGTTTTATCAGTCATAAAATATTTTTTAAATCTCCTGGAGAGAGTGGCAGCCTAGTGGTTAGGGCGCTGCACAGTGGCATCCCACTGCTCCCCAAGGGGATGCGTTGAATGCAAAGAGTTAATTTCTCCGTTATAAGATTTATTTATAGAGATCTTCAAGTATTTTTAGTTTTGTTTTTTTGTTGTTACTGTTTTTGCCTTTTCAGCAAAGATAAGATTATCCTCAGTTGATTTTTTAAACTATTGCCTCATGGGTACCTTCTTAGCCAAGAAAATAAATTTGGTTCTTTAGATGTTATTTTCGCTTTTGTTACCTTTTGGATGAGTCATCGATGAGCTTTTGGAGAAATTGTGGGAAACGGGCGCCTCCTGGAAATGTTCACCACTGCTCAATTTCTTCTAAATTTTTGAATAATGACCCTCATTGCAATTCAGTGCATTACAAGAGCTTTAGAGAGTGCTATCCTTACTGATGGATTTCAGTTATTTTGAACCTCATTTGATAATGGTTTTATTTTTAAATCAGGGCCTCAAATAAAAAAAAAAAAATCAGACCTTTAAATGTTGTTTGGAAAGTATAAAAGAGGCTTCTCAATTTTACACCTCAGACTGTAATCACACCTTGATGTCTCCTGTGATTTAAATGCTTTAAAAAGATTTGCTTAATCACAGTTAACCCATGATTTAACAAAAGGGGGGCTACTTTTCCACAATGGGCAATGTTAAACTTATTTCCTTTAATTAGATAAAATTCTTTGAGCTATTTTGTCATCAATTGGACTTTTCCTGTTTTGGTTTTATTTGAAACATTCAAGTTTGACAAAGAAAATGAAGGTTAGTTTGTGCTTGCTCACTTATTGTTGAGTAAAATAACTGGCTCTATTACAACATTTTTCCTCCTTCGAGTAAGTATATACAGTAGTATAGTACTTTCTCTGATGACAGTAATTCTAAAAATATATTGATACTGTAGGTTGAGTCCACGCTCCGAGGCACACAGTGCTTATTACTAATCTCCATCTTTCTTGTGTTCTGTATAACTGCTTTAATCACCAGCTTCACTGAAAGAGCATGTCTACGATGAGATCAGACTAGGTAAATCTGACTAAATTATGTTGCTGTTGGTGGATTTGAATTTAAGTACTATTTACTCTAAGTTGTGAATTTGTTGTCATAAATAAACATACAAAACATTCTTTTAATACCGTACTCTTATTGTCACTTATGTTTCAGAAACACAGGGTATTCCTTTCTAAAACAAAGACCCAAATATTGATTAATTGAGTAATTTATTATTCTGTTTATTGAATTATATTCTGAAAGAGTAGTATCAAACTACTACTTTATATTTTCTGGAGTATTATTAGCAGTTTTAATGTGATGATGAGATTGCTCACTCTGGGAAAGTCTGAACTCTATTTATCAATTTCTTTTACATTTCTAGCTGTCTTTTTAAGCTGACTATCTTCGTTAAATACGTTTTATGATTTGAATTTTATTTCGCACAATATGAACTTCTTTATCCCTTTTAACAAAATATTGGAGTCCAGGTTTTCAAACTTGCAATCTTTATACATTGATTTTAATGCTTTTTCTTACAATACAAGATAGTTCAAATATGTATTATTTTATTCTGCTAATTTGAAAGGAATTTTGTTTATCTTTAAGCCAAGTTATATATACAGCCTCATTAAAATAATTCAAAATATTTGCTGTTCGAAAAAATACTTAGTGTTTGGTTTGAGTAGAGAATATTGTTTGCTTTTAAAAATGGTAGTAATTATGCAGCTGATAACAGCAGCTCAGTTATACAGTATGCATATATTTTGTTTATATTTATTAATTTGTTTGTTTTTTTCCTATATTTACTTTTAGCAACAAGTGGCTCCTTGGACTCCAATGGTAACTAGAGTAGCTCAGTGCTTGTTTTAGATTATTTCCAGCTCAAACATACCAGACTTAAATTGTTGGGCGGAGACTGGTTTTTCACAATCCACACTGGATGTGTGTAGGACCTGTTCATGCATCTGACAACAGCAGAGAAAACTGCCACCTAGCCTTTCCTTTGTTTCTAGAGATGTAAATCTGCTTTACTCTTCCTCTGTCTGGTGAATCTGGTCTTGCCTTGGTTATTTGCCAATGACGGCAAAACAAACCCGGGGCATTAAAACACATTAAAACACAGCTGATCCTCTTTTTCCAAACTTTAACATTTAGGATAATAATGATGATAATGATTATTATCATCATTATTATTATTTATACATTGTAACAGTAGTTCTTATTCTGCAATATGTTGGTTTGCTCTCTGCAAGTTTTTGTTAAGTTCTGTAAAAACATTGGACTTTCAAATGATCACAAATATAATTTTTCTATTTTAGTTTCATTTTCTTACTGGCAGGGAGCAATCACAGACCTTAAATATAAGTTTTGTTGTATGCCCTACAATTTAAAAAGAAAATGCAGCTCCAGCTTAAATTAATTGCTTTAATTGGTAACAAATAATGACTCAAGATGATCAGACTTAATGTATGTAGTTCATAAGTTGTCAACTTAAGTAAACAAAGTTGGGCAAACTTAATTCAATTACTTACCAATTGTAGCAGTTCACTTAAGTTGGGGAAAGAACACCTTCTAGAAAATACCAATATACTAAAAAAAAGTTAAATTAGCCTTTTTTTTAGTGTAAACTTATTCTGTTGTGGGATTAGTAGTGTTAACGTAATTTTGCTCTGTCTGCATTTCTATCAGCATCATATTAATATATTTACATGCCTTAAAGCTGACACTTCCTGCTTTGAAGACCTTGATGATTACACTGACTTTACCGATAACCATGAAGGTAAAATGAAAGTTTTATATTCTGAAAAAAATTTAACCCTTTTTAAGAACTTAAAACACCTATACATCCTGTTTTCGTGTTAAATAATTCTGACTTGTAATGGTTTTTAGAATGTCTTGCTTAGGGGTGTTAGTATTTTGTACTATGTAGTGCTGTTGAGGTAAAATGCAATTTCCTAACCCTAAATAAGTCTGAAAAGCTTGAATGTTGCTTATATGATACATCTGGAAGATATATCAAAGTTTCAAAGACTGAAGTGATGTCTAACCTTAGCAGATCTTTCCAATATTTAAGCATTGCTCTCAGTCTAGTCATCAATCTGTTGTTTACAATCAATGTCTCTACAGAGGTTTTTGATAGATAAAATGAACTGCTGTTCACTATTTAAAAGAGTAGGTAATGAGACGTACTTCAGCACTTCCTGACAGCCACTGGACCACAAAACTCATATGCTTTTTTTTTTTTTATGTGTTCGTAAACTGACAACTTCAACATATGTATACCAGTTTTTGATATGAAGTATCCAGAGTTTGTATTTTAGGATTTCTTTTGATACACTCTATTTGTAAGTACCCAAGGTCCATCTCAACACCTCCTTACATCCTCTATTTGTGCTCCGTACTTTTCTCACCTTAACGTTTT